CTTTGTTGCTCCTGAGCTAGATGGCCGCTTGTTTACCTTCAAGCCTTTAAGACCCCAGACGCTATATCTTTTGATAGCCGGGCACCATCAGCTTTCTTCAACACATTTGCTTATTCACCAGCTTTGTCTTCAGCAGTTGTGTCGGGAAGGTGAGCATCATAGAATGCCAATTTAATAGAAGAAAGTATTCTTGCATTGAGGGAGTACTTGAGTGGAGGCCCAATGTCCTTCTGCCACCTTAATACTAAACCTATAAATATATGCATATAGATCTATTTCCCCATCCTCATTTATAAATATATTTACATATGTACATGCCTTTATTTGGACCTCTATATATGCCCTTTGCCTCCTAGCTCTTTCCACTATTTCCTTTGACTTGTTAGAGGGATTTTTTTTATTACAGCAAAACAGCATGTACTTACTCTAACAAATGTGAAAATGTAGTTGATATGGGCAATTTTCTAAGTAACTATCAATTAGCAAAATTCCTTTAAGAATATGTAGAAACCTGAAAACATAAATAACTGTAGAAAAACTACCAGGCAGGCAAAGATCTACCCTAAGAAACATGCTAGACCCAGACAAATAAATGGAAAACATTTACTAAGCAATTTTTCATTGCTCATGCTATGTAGAGAATAGCAAAGCCTGAAAATTCTGACTTGTTCTGAGACAATTGAGCCTTAATCTCAAAAACTGAAAAGAAATTGGGGGTGGGGGGAGGAGGAAAGAAGGGAAAGATTATTACTTACAAATATAATGCATAAAAAATTAGCAATGAATTAAAATCAGTTGTTCTTTGAAAGTATAAGAAATCATGACCAAGGAGATTTTATTAAAAGTATTCAAGGAAGGTCAGATGGTTTAGACATTCATTAAAGTAATTTACTACCCAATTAATGTAACCAATCTTTTGTTGTACTGCCTGTCATCTACCATCCTCATAATTGTTAAGCTTCAGCCACCGTGTCAGTCAATCTCCTTGACTGTCTTCCTCTTTTAGACAGAGAGGAAAAGATAATTTGATAGTAATTCAGTATTCCTGATTTTAATGAGCTAATCATAAAGCAAAACCTAGAAATAGCTAATAAATATAAGTTCTCCGCTCATTAGTTTAACAAATGTACAACTGTGCTTGACACAATGAATGGATGTATGGATTGTGATAAGAGTTGTATGAGCCCACGATAAAATGAATTAAAAAACAAAGCAAAAAAACATATTTAATATACATTCAATTGGCAAGAAGAAAATTACTGCCCCTCCCCCCAGAAGAATGTATTTCAAAAGACGGCATTGAATTATGCAGCTCTGGAAAAGGACATATCTGATCGGAGTACACAAGTACGGATGAAGGGGGAGGAAGAGAGAGTGGAGCACATCCTGGCCCACCAAGCCTTGAGGACGATGATCCCAATTAGAGCAGCCAGTCCACAAAGAGGACCACATGGCAAGCCCCACTATGAGACATGACGCCCCTCAATGATCCATAGCCCTACAGGGGACAACACCGTAGACACAGGGTGGGAATTGCACCCGATCTGATGTCGCCACACCGAGGCAAAACACTAAGGGGGTACAACAGAACAGCAAGGGAATGGAGCGGCGAGGTCCCCAGAGAATGATGAAGGTGGACTTTGGGGCCAGGGCATGGTACCCCAACAGACTGGACTGGAAAACATTCCTAAAGGCCAACAAACGATCCTTGAACTAACTACAAGCTTTTCTTTCTTGTGTTTTGTTTTGTTTTTTTGTCATTGGTTGGTTGTTGTTGTTTTGTTTTATATTGTTGCTTGTTTTTGCTCTGTCTTGTTT